GATGCTGATGTCCAGGACGATATTGAAATGTTTCCCAACCAAAACACTGGTTCAGAAAACAAATCAATTAGAACAAATGCAACACAGGGTAAAGGAGTACTCAGTAGTTTTCTGAATATCAATCATTAAACGTGATTTTGGTGAGTACCACACACTGAATCCAGACAACTGGGACATAGAAACGATACATAAAACGCTTCATTAATCGATCAATCACTTACCACATACACGTTTGACAGCGAAACGATCAAGATCAAAAGTTTCTGAATGTGGAAACCCTGAATTATCAATCATAATTAGATTAGCAATTATTTTCAGAGACTGTTTACGGTGAGATGATACAAAACATAAGTGAATGCACTACATATGACTGTAAAACAGACTCTTTGTGTCACTCTAAATCCGATAGCTTTCATATCATAAAAACACCCCTAACAGATAAATGCAGTGAAAAGAGATATTTTGGCATATGACTCAGAATTGACTAGAGCGACGAATATCCACATGTGCAATATTCCTTTCATCCGATAAACTTTTGCGACAACTCATTTCATTTCATTTCTTTTCTTTACCTACATCTCTAACTGTGGTTATATTAGATGTATGAAATGAGGCGGTACAACAGGTTGTCTGAAATTTATGCTCATCATATTTAAAATATTTAATGATGGATAACGAAAGTCATATAAGTTCGACCTAATTTTTATCATGAAGGCATGACAGTTGTAAAAATGTTGATAGCCTGGAGCACTGGACAACTTTTTCGATCGATTTTGCACCTCCTCAAAAACGAACCACAACCTACGACTTCACATGAAACCAACCTCAGGGCAATGAGTTCTCACAATAAACACATTAACATTCAACTAATGGGTTGGAATTCCAACATCCATTGGTTCCGATAAGGACGAAACAACTGCTCAGTACCCATCACATCTCACTAGTCATCTCCATGACGTAAATCGCTGAGGAAAATTCTGAAGTGAATCAATCACTAGAAAAACCCTTCATTAAAAATTATGCGCTTCAAGACTAATAATTACATACACTGTTAGATGACAACATAAACACTGAAGCTCGATTCATAGTTTCAAATCAACTTTCGATAATATTTAACAGACACACTAAGTAACTTCTGCAGCCCCACCCCACCCCACCTCACCTCCCACTTACCACCAATTCAGGGGTTTTCTTACGATCTCAAACAAAATTATGAAAGTCTAATTTAGCTATTTAACAAAGACTACAATTAATATAAAAGTATGTGCAAAAACTAATTCACAGGTTAACATTGAGATCAATTTAAATCTCGTTCTACAAATGGTTTTTTCTTTACAACCACAACTATGAGAAACTTCAAAGGTCACCCTGCCAACTGCTTAGGTAGCCGACTGCGTTTCCCTATTTTATGGCAAACTACCTTTTCCAGTCAGAATACCGAAACCTGGTTGGTTATTACACCACTTGCCAGAGTGGCCTTCAAAGTCACCCACAGTTATCCTTTCCAATAATTTAACTAAATGTTTGTTTTACACAATATACAAATACTAACCTACGCCTTTATTTACATGAGTTTTAATGGCAATCGTAGCGATAATAATGGTCACAAGCTGTAAATGTTTTCATGTTGAAACATGGACGTTGCACCACTAAGTCGAATCACCTTATCATAACTTACTTTATAGAAAAAAACTGCCCAAATGTTCAAACACAAGTCCTTCAGTTGTGGAGTCACAGTTTCTGATCAAACAACGATTTGTTTATCGATTCATAACACTTCTTCTTCCAAGTGTGACTCAATAACAATGAAGCAATAGGTTAGAAGTCTGCCATGACCAATGCTTTCATTTCACCACAAATCACCACATCGTGTATAAAAAGTAAAATAATTCCTCACCTAAAACCCTATGACTAATAATGCTCACTGAGAATTCAGCTTAAATACTTATGAAACTTGGACGTGCCTCACTTCCTAACTTTCTGACTGTTAAAGAAACCTATCTCATCGATTAAATAATCACAACTATATCTTACAGCTAGTACTTCATTTAACAACAACAGCCAATTTCAACGCAAGCTATAAACTCTCTCTATTTTTACAATTGCAATAGTGTAACGCCACCATGCTTCAGTTTCTCATCATTACTTTAATAAATTTAGGCAACTGGGAAGTTTTCACAAGTTAGCATCCAAATTAAGTATACTAAACTGCAGAAACATTATTAGTGAGTCAAGCATAAAACCCAACACTGAGGTTTACCGGTTCAAATTGAAATACTTCACATCAGCATGAATGACAAGAAACTAGACAATAGAGCATGGTAAGAGAACACATGAAGGTTAGTAAAATGTTTAAAAGAATTTAAAGATCCCCATACATTATTCAGAACAAGAATAATTTAAGACATTGAAGAAGACAAAGGATGTACAAACACATTATCCTCATCTTAACCGATATACTTAATCTCATCACTTTCTCATTCCTCCTTCCTCTCCTATCCTACTTTTTACTTCTTTTGACCGACTTCCCTTTCCCTTTCATCTTCCATTTTATTCCCTTGTTACTTGACGTGCTGATATGAGATGTGGCAACTTGAAGCGTTACTCAGTAATTCCTGGTCGTATGTTGATCTTGATAATGATGTCTCAAAATCAATTACAATGCTGTAAATGTAAACACGCTTTGTCATCTTTAAAGTCTTAAAATTTTACTAACCTTCATGTATTTATTCTTACTATTACCATGCACTAATGTCAAGTTTCATCCCCTTCATCTCCTGTCCACCTTTTCTTCTCATGCTGAAGTGAAGTATTTAAACCTGAAACGACGAACCTCAGTGCTAGGTTTTACATCTGACCCACTGATATCGGTTGGAGCCATATCATCAAGTGTCAGTCTTTTATCATTGATTCCTAAGGACAAAAATATGTTCTTTTAGGCTCAAAAAACTGTAACTATCTCTTGGAAAATGAAGAGGAAGGAATTTTCAATCACTTCTATATTTTTTATCTTAATACACTAATAATACAAGCATCTATTAACAGATGCACCTCACAAAGGTAAAATTGGCAACTGATTGAAGGAGAAATAAAAGAAGAGTCGATCATAATATTACTAGTGGGAGAAAAATCAGTTGAATTAAAGGTACTTTTCAAATTGAATGAGTGTTAACAAAGTATTTTGCACTGCATCGAAACAACAAGTAGGATGTAATCAAGACACATGAAAAGATGTTAAAAGTAGGAGAGTCTGTTAAGTAAGATATTTATGCTAAAAGAGTAATCACCTTTGTTTTCAACAAAAAAATCTCCATCAGGTAACTTTTTACATTCATTTGTGAATATGTAGACGGATGGATCAGTTTGGGCGGTTAGTTGTTTTCATCTTATGTAAAACCGTTTCTTATTCCTTACCATCAGTATGGCAAAACTTGACAGCCCCCACTATCAGTCTACTACCCTGTATCATGCATAAGTTAAATGCGAAAAAATGGAATCGGTTAATTTCAATTTACGCTTTTTTTGACCACAGACTATGAAAGAGATTTTATACTTTCCAAACATTCCCAGTAAGGTAAATTGATCCTAACAGTACAGGAAGACAAGACTAGCAGCTTTATATCTAGCGTAACTACTTACCCAACTACGTACATATCCCTTTTCTCAGTTTTTTCTCAACCTTTTGATTATTCTCCTTCAAACAAAAACACCAATCAATATCATGTTGCAAAAACGTCCCTGGTAAGTGAGGATAGTTATTACGATTTATAAGTAGATGACAACTTATGTTTAACCATATGAAAGTGTGTTGAAAGGATGAGTAAACAAAAAACAATCTCGAACAACAGGATAAAAGTTTAGCGACGTCATTACATGAATGTACAGATAGACTTTAGCCAGTAATTAGAGTTGATAAGAAAAAAACTATATAGGTTGCTTACCATTCATTTCGTGATCATCAAACACTTTTTCACACGATTTTCACAAATTTTAATCTACTAGGTTTTTTTTAATGCTTAATTATGTATCATAAGGATGCACTAAGTTGTTTCCCAGTTATTATACTCTTAGTGATGGTAGCCTTTCAATAAAAGCTTCTAAGGCTTAAACTGGCCACTAGTTTGTGATTTTTACGGAACAACAGGTCGATAACAAATAACCAGGTGGAATAAAGACGTGTATTAGTCTGAAGACTATGATGACAGGTTTTACCTACTCCAGGAAATATACAGAATTAGCGGAAGCACTGGGTTGACACACGTATAATACAAATATATCGATATACTGCGACCTTACAAAGTGACTTACTTTGTATGGATTATATCTCATATCTAACTTCATCTTCGCTCAGTCACAGGTTATACTTGATGCCAGCAATTAATTCCATAAAGACAACAGTCATTACAATGTAGAGTTAAAAAGCAGAATATAAAAGAGTATAGTCAGAAAAAAGAACATTGATGTCTAGTGCGCTTGACTGTCGATCGACAAACGTATACTTTATATATGCCATAGATGGCACGAGTTATGAAATGCTAATCAAGTCCATTATATTTACATTAAGTTTGCCACTATGATAAGCGCAACGGGTATCGCACAAAGAATCAGATAATTAAAGTGGTCAATGTTCTCAAATAATTCATCCACAATAACTGAAGCTTCAGACTAGTCTATGAAAATAGGTATACACTGAAAACCTCAGATAAGCTGGAACGTTTTTCCTATCATTTCAAGTATAGCAATCAGATAGCCATACTTTTGTCAACGTCTCGCTTCATTAACAGGATCACATATTTCTTACTTTGAGATAACAATATGATTGAGTGACTCAAACGTCACCCTATCAAATGCCAAAATAACCGATTAGTTCTTATTATTTTATGAAAGTCACCTGTTCAGCCAAAATAAACCAACCTAATTTGTTATTTCAGTCGTTGGTAGGGTGTTTAAAGTTACTCAGAAGATCGACGCCTCAACTTTCTCAGTTAATTCTCAAAGAAAGTAGTATTTTTAGGCTTATATACACAGTACAGTCTTGTCATGGTGTTACAAGAACGTATAACCTAAAGCTTTTTATGATGACTTCATACATGGATGAGATAGTATCAATTAATAACCCAAAATGAACTTTGAACAATAAACATGGTATAATAATAATGACAATAGTGCTGAAGTGTCGAGGCTTACATTCATGGTTAGTTGTCTGTTGAAGGACGGTGTCAGTACTTAATTTTGGTTTTATTTAGGACTTTTTTCATTTTGTATCGCCCACGTTACC